ACATAGAATCAGGCTAAAACAGAGGACTGGTTAAAAAAAAACTATCCCGCCTTAAATTTGCTACATTCGAAGTAGCCCCTCACTCGCGCCCAAGCGCTACTGACCATCCAGAGAAAAACGGGGGAGGCCCACGAAAGAAATGTGGCGACACGGAGAGGGAGTGGAGAAGCTTCCGCTTCCGGCGGCCTCACTGACGGCGGCGGGGCCCAGCCGCACTACGCGGCCGTACTGGGCGGGAGGCAGGGGGAGATGCGGTCGCCGGCGCTGCCGCGGCTCTTGGTGGGGCCGCTGCTGGTGTTGCTGGTGCTGCTGGAGGCCGCCCGCTGCGCGGAGGCTGCGGCCCCTCGCCCTCGGGACGCCGGCACCGCTTCCCCACGCCCAACGGAGGCGGCCGGCGGGGCCTCCACGCGGAGCAGCAGCAACAGTAGTAGCAGCAGCAGCCGCCTGGCCGAGGTGTCGGCGCCGCCCGAGCAGGGCCAGCCCATGACCCAGCGCGCCCTGTCCGTGCTGGTTCTGGCCAGCGCCGCCCTCATCGTCTACTTCGTGATCCGGACCGTGCGGTGAGGGCGGTGAGCGGGCGTGTGGGTGCGGGGGCCGCCGTTACGCGGCAGGGCCTGCGGAGCGTGTCGGCCCCGCGCCTCCTGAGGTGCCGGTTAGTAGCGCCCGACTGCACTGGGAAGCTCCCGGTACCGCCTCCCCGGTGTGGGCGGGGAGCAGCTCAGTCTGCTCCGGTCACGTCACCGAGAATCGCGCATCATTGTTGGACCTTTCCCGTCTCCGTCCTGTGCCCTCCGGGTGGACTTGTCACTGCTGGCATCCATCAGCCCACATGAATTTATTTTGTTTGTTCTTAGAGTGATTTTTGACCAGTTTGCAAACTTCTGTTTCGCTAAACTACCAAAGTTGTCCTCCCCTACTTTGTCAGTAAACATTTTTCTTCTATGCTTTCTTTCACAGTTAAATTAACCTATTTTGTGTCTTTTAAAGAAAGCTTATGAATCTTGCTACCACTTAGCTGCCTTTCCATTTCTCATGGAAAATACTCTCCACGTAGCTTGATGTGATTTGCACAGTGTTTGTCCCTGTATTTTTTTTTGTCCAGGTAGTTTAACTTCTCTCTCATGCTTTAATAACTTGAATTCTTCAGAGCAATGCCCAAATGTATGATTATGCCTAAAGCACCTCAGTTATGGAGCAAGTTCTCCATGTACTTTTCATTACATTTAGATATACCCATTTTGTCTAATATCTGCATTATTTAGTTTAGAAAGGCAGTTGAAGGACTGTTTTGTGTATGTCATGTACTAAGATATGCAGTCCAAGTAAACTAGGATATTTTGATTGTTCCATGCATCTTGCAAATCACTCTTGAAAAGCCTTGAGGGCACTTACCAGTGTTAGTGTGTCTTGTAACACCAGCCTGTTGGATTTGGAGATGTGAGTAGTACTATGGAAAGGCCAAATAAATAAATACATAAAAGTCTGTCATTGCAGGAGCTAGAGAGGAAAATGATCATCTATTGCCATTATTTTCTGGATAAGTGGTAGTTACTTGATATTCTGGTTTTGGCAGTAGGATGCTGTTCTGCATTTGCAACTGGAGTGCTGCCTTCTAGGGTACTACTGTAAACTGGAAGCTTTACTTTATTAACATTATTCTGTAATTCTGTGGCATCTTGCTTCTGAACTTTGGAATAGGTAAAGTGTATGTTTTTGAATTTGAACTTGTAGCTGAAATGTTCTTGCAGTGGTTGTATAAGAAATACAAGGATTAAGTGCAAATGACCCATTTTTTTGGATAGGTTTCCTTGGCATGAAGACATATCTTGTTGTAAGACATAAAAACTTTTCGCAAACTTTCTATCAAGCTGCCAGCCCAGTGGATGAAGGGAAGAAAGTGAGTGTAGCGTTTCTGGATTTTAGTAAGGCTTTTGGTGCTGTTCTTCACAGTATCCTTCTGGACAAGCTCTGCAGCTGTGGGGTGAGTAAATTTGTGGTGCACTGGTAGAAGAGACAGTTGAATGACAGGGCTCATAGGGTTGTAATGAGGAGGAGTGCATCAGGCTGGTGCCCAGTTACCAGTGTAGCTCCTCAGGGCTCAGTTCTAGGGCCAGCTTTGCTCTGGAGACAGGAGTTGAATTGGCCATTAGCAACTTTGCGGATGACACCAAACTGGGAGGTGCAGTAGGCTCTTGCAAGGTGGGAGAGGCCTTGCATAGGGATCTAGATAGATTGGCGCATTGGGCAATCACCAGTGGCAGGACGTATAAAAAGAACAAACACAGGACACTAGTTTTATGTGGGAGAGAAGCAACTGCAGAGCAGCCATGCATAGAGGGATCTCAGGGTGCTGGTTGACAGCAAGCTCAGTATGAGCCAACATGTGCCCTGGCAGCCAAGAGGACAACTTCACCCTTAGGTGGTTCTCACAAAGCACAGCCAAACAATCAAGAGAGGAGATTGTCCAACTTTGGTGGACAATAGTGTCATTCAACATTGTCATGGCCTTCTTGTGAGTAACAGTGTGCAGTAAGAAGCACACTAAGGCACATGAATACAACCGGACTGGGGAACCAAGCTGATTGAAGAGTTGGAAGGCCTGTCCTGTTGAGGAGGAGCGGCTGAGAATTGAGTTGGTCTACTTTGGAGTAGAAAAGGCCTGAGGGGTAACCTCATTGCTCCCTGAGGTTCCATTGGCCCCTGAGGAAGGAGATGCTTATCCCTTCTTGCTGAGATCCAGCTATAGGATGCATGGGAATGATTCATAGTTGAACCAAGGGAGGTATAAATTGGACGTTAGGAAGCATTTTTTTACTGGTAGGGTGGTCAGTGACCGGAACAAGCTTCTTAGAAAGGGGATGGATCAGTGTTTAAGATGCATTTGGACAATACCCATGGTATCATGCTTTAAATTTTGGGTTGATCAGGCAGTTGACTTGATAGTAATTGTAGGTCCCTTCCAACTGAACAGTTGACAGTCACAGAGTAGAAGGTCTTTTGTTAACACTCAGGACATTGCTTTAGAGTCATGGCTGTGAGCATACATGCATGTTGCATAAGCATTTCCAGTATTCCTGTTGCTGTAGTTTTTAAACTACTTCTTAGAAGGGTTTGAGTCTCAAGTAATTAGTGTGTCTCTTTTTAACAGGATTTGCTTGAATCTAAAATCTGTGTCAGCTTTGTGATAAGTTTTATTTGCATTTTCTGCAAATAAAATGTTTCTAGACATTTGCTATGATTGTCTTAGGTCACTCTAAAATCACAGTAGCTACTCACTTTCCATTTTAACCCATTAAGGGAAAAAAGTAAAATGTAAAGTGAGATTGACAGAAATACTGACTGTATGAGTAGCATGTACTACCTCTTCTTAATTTCTTTTTTTGTGTGTGTGTTTAAAATAGTTTCTTATCTGCTAGGATATCCACAATGCTTGTCCTAGTTCCAATTGCTTAACTTCTACTTTAGTGAAAACCAAAAGGCACAATATGTAAAAAACAACTCTATTTTTCATCATACTGTCATCTCAAAAGTTTTAGAATTTTATTCTACTTGGTGCTTTGTAGTGTACAACTTCTTTCTATGTTGAGGAATAAAGAACAGATGAAATAAATGAAGAACATGGAAGGGACTTTGTCTTGAACTGAAAGGTGAAATTTTTTGTTTTGGTAGTAGTCAGCTTTAAATGAAAAAGCTGGGTATTTTGTTCTGGTCTAAAGCAGTTAAATGCCTGGGATAACGGTTGCTGCATTTTCATGTCAATTGAGAGTGGAGGAAATGGCCATGTTGATTATTTCTTATAACATTAGAAATTTGGGAACTTTGAAGAATGGTACGTACTTTATCTCTTTCCCATTCTTACAAGGTTACATTTACTTCTCAGTTCCAAAAGGAGATATATTTTATACTTTGGAGTATAGTGAAAAGATAAACCAAGATTGAATGCTGTTGTGTGTTCTTTCAAGGTAGGTGTTTAAACAAATTGTGTAAGTACACTGGAGTTTCGGGACAGGATTGGAAGCTGAGAATCTCAGTATTGTATTTGATATCTCTTACAAGATAGGTAAAATGGTGCCTAAATGTGGGACAGAGAAGTCACTATGCACAGTATACAATAATATAATGTATTATACGTAGTATTACAACAATACTATAATATCGTAATATATTAGTAATTTTTTTTATATTCGCTTAGAAATACTCTGTGTTGAAGTTCCTGAATGTTGTAAACATGTTTGGTAGGCACCTAGCTTGGGGTTGCAGATTCTGGATTTTCTAAATGAAAGACCTATTACCACCTTTGTGTTTAGCACTAAGTACCTAGACACAAATTATCTCCCTTTTTTTTAAGTCCTATAGCTTTCATGTTGTTGTTAGCCAGTTACTGAAAAGGACTCTGTCAGCATTCTGTAAACAGATGTCTTTGCACAGTGTTTGGTGAGTGGCTTCTGGTCTGAGTTCCAGAACTTGAGCAAGGCTTGTTCCATGAGTTAAAGAGTAGTTCTTGAAAGTCAAATGGAATGGTTCATTGTGTGGCTGATGCACATGGGACCCAGGCCCATGCAGCAAAACTGTGGAGAGTGAGAAAAGCAGATGCACAGAGTCTGCTTGTCTATGATAAGCACTGTGCCTTAATCCTGGAACATGAGTTACTGCCTCTTCCTTCCATACTTTGTGAAGCAGACAAGACATTGACTCTACAAGATCTGTCTTATTTAAAGTGTAATTATAGACAATTTTTAAAACTTGATATCTATAAAAAGCTTCACAAATTATAATAAAAATTTCTAGTGTCAGCCATTACTTGTGTACAAATTATAGCTTTGTTGTATAGCTGTGTTTGGTTTCTACCTGATTTGATCTGCTATTATTTACAGATGTGTAAGATACATAGAGAATATGTAGCAAGGCATTTTTTTTCTTAGTAGAAGTATGTTTGAAGTATGCTTTTGCATATTTTTTTTATGTGGCTCTTATATTTAGATGCTAAGTGCCATTTTATATTCACTACGTTAATCCTGTACAAAACTACAGATGACACTCTTAGTGGTCTTAATAATTTCATGTAAACTGTTGACACTTAAAATTGTCCAACCTCTGAATTTCATAGAGCTAAGAGTGTACGCTTATCGTAGGTTTTAGAAAACTTACACTAATTATCAATATAACAGTATTTTACATTATTGGATCAGAAAGTAGCAAAAGATTTACATTACTTGAATGTTCTAAAATACTTTTCAGGCTCAGAAGGCAAAACAGAAAAACCCGAAGATACGGAGTTTTGGATATGAACATAGAAAACATGGAGCTGACCCCATTAGAACAAGATGATGATGATGATGATACAACACTATTCGATGCCAGCCATCCTCGAAGGTTTGTATTTGGAACCTGAATGTACTTCTAGCCGTAGAAGTGAAGGTGTGTGGGTGATGAGCAGTTTCACTGAGAAAGCTCACTACTGTGTTTCATATGCATAGTTGGAGAAGGGATGTCAAGATGACTTGAATTTTAAATGGGCAAGAATTTAGTGGGCAAGAAGATAAACACCATTTGTCTTCAACATGTGAGTTCCAGAGAAATGAAGAGGAAGGTAGGATATTTTTGTTACAAATAGTGTCATTGAAGTTAATGTTAAGTCAACAACTAGCTTTTATGCTTTTATCTTTCTCTTTTCTTTTTTTTTTCCCTAATTTAAATGCTCCTCAGTTTTTCCTGTGTATTTTCACCTATGAGTTGTGCTTCAAGCAGCTTTGCTTCATTCTGCTTTCTTATGGCTAAAGTAGTCAGCAGTTAGTTGATGATGATCCTGCACCAGATTTTACATTTGGTACTGCTGCACTGAAAGATTCATATTCTTAAGCTATTCTCGGAAACTTTGTAGATACAGGAAAATTTTGTTGCATTTTGTTTGAACTTCCAAAACCAAATTTTTTTTGAACTTTCATTCTGTTTTCTTAGTGTCCTTAAACATGATAAATTAAAATTTAAATTTATGCAATTTATACTTAAATTTTTCCCTTATTGAGTAATGCCATCACATTATATTTGTGAAGATGCAGTAAAAATAATTGATGGGATTGTCATTGTTCATAGTAAGGGCTACTTGACTATTGTCAAGTATCAGAAGAGATCAGGTGAGTTCTTCCAGTCACAGCAAGTAATTGATTCACACTGCTTAATGTGGAATCAGATTCAAATCTCAGGCAAGTTTGATAAATGCAATACATGATGTCTCGAATTAAAAGTATTGGAGTAGTAAGTCAGGTGTTCTACAGTTTATCAGGAGGAAATTTGCATGCGGTTCTGGCACTTGAAGAGAAATGTTCAGTCTTCTTTAACTTTGTCGTCTTAATGTGAATCTTTCTGATTTAATTTTTTTCATAAGTCGAAGCCTCTCTTGTTTTTTTCTCTCCCATACAATAGATTAAAATAGCTAGAGTACCTAGCTATTTTAATGCTAGTACTTAGCATTCCTCTGCATTTTAGAATTATGTGACATTTACCATTACCCTTTGTTACTAGTCTTGTTCCAGTACATATATATATATATATGTATACACACACACATATGTAAAATATAATAGGTAATTGTCACATTATATCCAAGAATTCCTTCAATGTCTTCCTTAAATCTTTTAGCTTCTGTTGTAATTCAGCATACTTGTTAACGTTAAGGTATTTGATGACAAGTTAAGGTGATACTCTTTATAAATGCTTATTTATAAGAGTATCGACTATATTTTTTAGCAGGAAGTAAAATGATAATCTAGGTAGTCATCATTAACAAACAGTATTACACAATTATAACTTTCAGAGGGCCTATTTCTGATTTTGCTGCCTTCCTGTTTCCCTAAACACTTCATTTTGAAGGAGAAGAAAAATTTGTTGAAGTACTTCATAGTAGAAATATCTAAATTGTTGTTTCAATAGTGCTCTGAAAGTTTGTGCCTAAATTATTGCAGTTCTTGTTTTGATACTGGGAACTCAGGAAAACAAGGACTTCAGTTAGATTCAGTGAAGATGGTGAATTTTCTCTTTTTTTGTATATTGATATCTTCCTGTGTTCTCTTTTATGGGGAGAAGCTCGAAATTTTAAGAGCTACTTTTTTTTTGAAATAGTGTTCATGGGTAGGATGAAAGCAGTGCTGAACAATGTGAATTTACTCCACAAATCTCTGTAGAGCAGCTTGATAAAATGGTGTCCAAACTTTGCAAAGATACATCCATCATTGCTGGGAGGATAGTTTGAAAACTAGAGTACTTGAATTATTTTATTTTTTTAATCTTGATTGGGAAAGGACCTTATAAAGTTAATTTATTACACCCTTGTTTCAACTTGTTTGCATCTGAACTGAAGCTTAGTAATCAGTCTTCACATTACTGCTTAAGCACAAGGGCCAAAGGGAATACAAAATGCCTAAGTAAGCAAAGACAACTTGATGCTGAGGACAACATCACGAAAATGATACTCACATATTCTTGGGAGATGTCATTACACTTTGTTCTGACATTTATAGTAATACAGAGGTATGGTTGATTGGGTTTTTTTAAGGTAGCTTAAATATATAGTTAGGCCTGGAACCTGGGAACAAGGAAGAGAGGCTTTTAGTAAACAAAACTTTTTTGAGTTTAGTGCTTTGTTAAGGAAAGAACAGTTGCAGTTTTACTTTACATAGACTCAACAGTTGAGCTGATTTAGTGCTTAAGTTTATTTCCCTTGCAACTTATAATGGAAGGCACCAAAAAAACAAAGCAGTTACAGGAAATTCTTATCTCCATGTTAATTTATATTTGTTAGTGACATCAAAGTAGTCAAGTTTTGGTGTATATATATAAAAGTATTGTTTTATATATAAAAGATGTCTTTTTTCCTAATTTCTTTGCGACCTGTTAAAAGACTGTACTGGCACCCAGTCTGCTTTCATTTTTCTTGCTTGAAAATATTAAGCTTTTTTTAAGGTAATACTCTACAAAATATATTAGAAGTCCCTGTAGGCTTATTTTGGGTTAGCTGTTAACGTTAGACCCTTTGCAGGACTAGGTAGAGAAACTGGCTTCTCTCCTAAAAATCACCATGGTAATGTTAGTATACTGGTGTCCAGGTACATTACTGCTTTCAAGGGTTGCTGTTTTCTTTCAGAGCTGTATGAAAAAAGGTCCCCAATGCCCTCAGATGTAATACAGACACAATTTAAGTGTACTCCCACTATCATCATCATCCACGTTACTAGTCTCTGTGCTGCTGCTGTTTGGGACAGTTTACCAAAACAGTAGGTTTTAGCCAGTTTGCTCAATAGCTTACTATTAAATGCCCAAGTATGAAATTCTAGCCTTTGGTCTCTTGAATACAACTTTACATATGTGCTAATGGAGGAACAGTATACTATTATCACATCTTTGTTTTTCAAAATTATATCACACTACTAGTTTACAATCCTCATTGAATGACTTCACATAGAACCTACTTGCTCAGTGCTGCAAGGCACAAGGAGAGGAATTTACTCTATTTATTTATAGTATTCCATAACTGAAATGCTACTAAGACTTGCCAGAGTTTCAGTAGGAACTCAGGAGCCGTGAGGGTTCAAAAATATATTCATCATGGTAAATTCCTTTTTATTTTTGTAAATGAGTTTTCTCTCTATTTGGAAAGGTTAAATGAATGCAGGTTTATGGTACTTCGCTTCACCATAATATGGTAACTATGAGTTTTTCCAGTCAAATTTAATAATAAAATGTCATGTCTCTCTGGGTTCTTTCATAATGTGTCATCTTTAAAAATGTAGGCGAAATTCACCTTGAAACAGGGCATTCAGATTAATGCATCTGTTTCTTCTATTGTAGAGAAGTACGTGCCTTTCAATGAAAGAACTTAATCTTAGAACCAGAGAAGGAGACTGCTTCATGGGAGAAATAAGAAGCAAGAGGGTATGCAAGTGGGGGGGGACTAATTTAATTTGTGTATTTTATGGCATCCTTAATATCTTGCAATAAGTAATGTATCAATTTGTTGTATCTTTTTGTATATAGAGATTCTCAATATATAGCCTACGGGGAGAGAGTACTAACTGTGATAAGATAAAAACCTATTTAAAATGGAGATTACTTGTAAAACAGGGTATTTTTTGCTTGTTAGAAGTCTTGTATGCCATTAAGCGTGGTATACCCTTTTTTTCTACAGTAACCTGGAATGTTAATATTTTCTTCTGATATTAAATTGTAATTAAATAAAGCCACCGTGGAACTTCTCAGAATTGTTAGAACATGATTTTAATTGAGAAGATAATTTATTGTTTACCAATAAAAAGCTAAACTTATACTGCCTTCTGTGTTGAGAATTTAAACAAATGAATTAACATATTTTGTTCATGTAAACTTCAGTGAAAAAATAAAATGTGTTTACAGTGCTCCTAGCATTTAGTGTGATGCTCCAACACTATACAATTTAAGGATACTCGGGATATTAATATAATTATGTAAAACATGGTATTGCAACATCTTCTTGTTGTTGAGACTCCTGATTGCAACTGTTGAGTTAATTTTTTGTGAGATCTGTCTTCAACTTGTGTGAACAGATGTGGCTCAGTGACTTTAGGCTCTTGCTGTGTGATGTCAGTATTCAGACCTGTAGTGAAGCAGAGATAAGCCTTTGGGAAAATTCTAAATATTCTGTAACTCTAAAATGAAACACTGACATCAGAAGCAGCTGTTACTGAAATGTGGGGTAGTACTTTCATGAATGTAGTCGACATAGAGCAGTTATGTTTAGTTTTTGGCTAGTGCCATAAAAATTAGAACAGTCTTTAAGACCTGGATAATACACTTTTTTAAATGTGTTGCAGTTTCCACCATAATCTTAATAATGTAGACAAAATGTTCAAATTCTAGTTTAGAATTAATGTGTAATTTTTTGCTAATTCCTTATATATTTCAAGGCATAAGCTTTCTACAGCAGTATTGGTGTGCGTGACAATGTATCCTAAAAGTGCCTGAGTTATGGGTTACAGAGAAAGAGGAATAATTTTTCCCGATTCTTCACCCTCTTGGTATTTGAACAAAATTGGAGTATTTTTCTTTGACGTCATTTCAACAGTGATAGGGTGGGAAGGGAGTCTGCTGTAGATTTTCTTTATTTCTGCCAGCTGATCTGTTACATTGAAACCTTCTTACTGCACTAATAATAGCTCAGATGAGGTCAAATCAGCCTCCCAAGATAATTTTCACCTACAGCTGCCCACATGCCACATACAGCTAGGAAATAGATTGTATTTATAATAAATGTAAGTTTTTATTTTGCTTCCTGATGTACCTAACTTTTTCTGCTTATATGTAAAGATAAAACTGAAATGGAAATACAACACTAATTCTTGGAACTGCTTAGTTGAGGAATCTGGAGACATAGTAAAGAATAACTTGGTTGTAGACTGCAGGCGAGAGAACTGTAAATGATAGAAGGCAAAGTATGCTGTTTCCATATATAGAGGGGAACATCAATGTTAAACTACACATAATTGAAATCTTTCAGAAGTATAGACTGTCTTCCTGACATCCTAGAATTCAAACCTGTAGCATCTTTATAGGCTTTGAGCCACTCTGAAGAGGTGTTATCCTTGTTATGCACAGATATTTGAACTGTTTAAGCAAGTTAAAATCATTGGAAATGCAATCAATCTTTAAACTCTTGTATATGCTGCAGGTAAACCTTGATGTTTTCCTGCAGAAAAAAATAAAATGGAGCAGATTATTTATGTTTCCAAACAAATTTTCTGATGGAAAAATAAAACCAGCCACAAATTTTCTCAAAAATTTTATATAGGCTTCTTTCACCCATGCCTTCAAAATTATGAGGCTCTATTTACAGGAAAACGATCTGTAAAGCAATCATATGACTGGTATTAAGTTTTAGAACAGTTTTGATTTCTGGTATGTCCTATACCATGTGGTTGATGGATCAAGCTTCCTTGGCCTTACTCAGCTTGTATCTAATTTAAGTAGCTGAATTGGTTCTCATTGCATTTGCAGACACTCATTAGAAAATAATAATGGTTTTGTATATCTTGGTCTTAACAGTTGGAAATTGCAGCTGTGAGTTATGTACAGCCCTTGTTGATAGGTGTAACACCATCAGTACCATTTCCAACTACTTCTGAAAAGCTGTTCTTAGAGCTGTTCTAACATACTTTCAAAAATTTGGGAAAGAATATGCCACTACAGAGGCCAGTAACTGACCCATACATAAACTGAACTGAAGTTTATTTCAAGCTTATTTATCACTTAAAAAAAGATAAAGACAAGTAATTGTGAAATGTGTAACTAAGTAGCTGTGTATGGAAAATTTTATCTCCATTTGAACTAAAATATTAATAGGCTAGTAAAAAATGTGAGGTGATCTGCTGATGTAAAACTCCTTGAAGACAGAAGATTGCCCAAGTTTAATGAGAAATAAACTGGGAGAGAGACTAGATTTCTTTTATAACTTGAATTTCTGAAGACAGAAGATGGAATGTGGAGAAGAATCTTGGAAGATTGAAAAAAGAATAGTGTTTAAAGATACTTTTACAAGTTTTACAGTATTAAGGCTATCACAGCATATCTATTACTGTATGTTAGGGCTTTGTGATTTTTTCCTTCACTACTGTAATTTGAGGCACAGCTTGTACAAGAATATGTAGTTCCTGATCAAGTCTGAATATATGAGTTCAGTGCATTGATAGGATAATGGAGCAGGCACCCTGTGATACCATGAAGGGGTCCAAGCACGAGCACGAGAAATCCATGTGACTGAAGAGGCAGAAAACTTTTTTTTTTTTTTGTGTTGACCAGTAAGAGCCAGGAGCAATCTTTTAATATGTAAGCCAGCTGAAAAGCTGAAAAACTTCAGTCTCAATGGACCCAGTATGAGTGGACTGCTTCATAGTTTCAGAATAGGCTTCTGTTTGATACAGGTGTCTTGTTTCATGGTACTACTGATGATGGTATTTCAAACTGTTAACTGTTAAACCTCTGCAGAATTGATCCAATGCTCTGGGGCGGTGTCCTCTGATGAGATTTTTGTGTGATTTTTCTCTGTCCATAATTACTCGTCATTTCCAAGTGGCTTGCATGCTTTTTACTTTCCATCTTGAAACATTCTTATTTTAAGAAATTATAAAACAAGAAGATTTCTTCAAGGTATTATCAGGATGGTTGGATAAGTTTAAGATTTTACTACAAGATACAGAGAAGGTTCTTAAATCATGAAATCTTTTGTGTGTGATTTCCTGCTTTCTTCAGCTGGGAAAGTAGGAGCCTATATGTTTCACATAAGCCTTTTCAATACTTAAGACAGTATGCTTTGTATAAAATGCAATATATAATGTTTTCCTAAGTGTGGACATATGAATCAAATGCACAGTAAGTAAATTTGCTGTTGCAACTAATCTAGGAGGAGCTGTGAGCTCCCTCAAGGGTAGAGAGACCTTACAGATCTGATTAGACTATGGAGCAGGATAATCACCAGATGTATGAAATTTAATAAAGAGCAAAGAGCTGGATTCTCCAAATGAAATGAGATAATAATACATACAAACTGGGGGACAAGAGGCTGAAGAGCAGCCCTGCAGAAGGATATCTGAGGATTTGAGTTAATGGTAAGTTGAAAAGGAGTCAGCAGTGCCCTGGCAGCCAGTAGCCTTTCCTTGAGGGACTTCAACCCCAGGGAGGAGTGACCCATACTGCAGCAGTTTGGGGAGGGCCAGCTGTGTCCTGGGATGCATCTGGGCAAGGGCAAGGGAGGGGCTTGTCCCACTCTGCTCTGTTTTGAGCACCATAATATGAAAAGGACAGGGAACTGCTGCTTTGTTCATCTTGGAAAAGAGAAGGCAGTGGGCTAGAGGGGCAGCAGAGTGGGAGATGCTGATGTCTCTTTTGGCCAGTGAAAGGGCAGATGGGATGGGAATGAGTTTGCATCCAGCACAATTCAGGTTGGACGTTGGTGTAGTCTGAGTTATGCCAGTTCCTTTTGATACCTATTTGTATCAATCTAGGTATATGGGCACTTTGTTTATCAATTTTCTTTCTTAAGCTTCATCTTGTTTAATAGAAACAAACGTTCATTCATATTAGCTTCAGAAAATTTGGTCCATAAAGACAGAGGGTGAAAAAGTACACATTCTTACCCAAGCATTTAATTGTTCATATTTTAAAGAAAAGTTAGTTTCAGTTCACCAGCTGACTGGATCATGCATTGTATAAAGAAATACTAATTTTTAAGAAACAAATTCTTTATTATTCCACAGCTTTTTCTTAAAAAAAGAAAATAAATCCAGCCAAAAGCCTGTAGGTAAGGTAAATGGCATTTATGAAGAATCTTGAAGAAACTTCTTCAAGAGATTACATTATTGAAAGGTCTAATTGCCATATTTTGAACCTTGGGAGATTTCATGCGGAATATGTTTGCACTGGTATTACTCCTTTTACCTGCCTTGGGCATTGTCCAAAAAGAGATGTGTGACTCTGTAGATTTCTATTCAGACCAAACACAGTCATTTTTATTCTATGCTCAGATAGAGTCCAAAGGCCTCTCATCTTTCTAAACAGAAAACAGTTTTTCAAAGATAAAGTTTTACAAATTAAACCTGCTGAATCAAAGCAGACATATACATCAGCATTTTTGTGATGTTTCTGAGAGTTAATAGTACACTTGTAGTAAGAAGATTGCTCAGATAGGTGGTGAAATTTAATTAAAAGTTTAACTGTCCATTCTATCAGATCTTTAATTTTGCCTTTCCTGATATGAAATCTAAATCTTGCTTCTAGTAATTTTAAGCCTATTGCACTGAAACTACAGTGAATGGTAAAAACAGCTTTGTTCTATTGCAGATCTGCCACTTCTTTCAAGATCATTATATTGATCCATCTCATCTTGTCTGAACAAGACACCTTCAGTTTCTTTCCTCTTCTATTCGTTTTGCATTGGTTTTTGGTAGGAGGGGGTGCTACAGGGGTGGCTCCTGTGAGAAACTGCTAGAAGCTTCCATCACGTTCAGCAGAGCCAATCCCTGGTGTCTACAAAGATAAACACACTGGCCAAGCCTGGCCAGTTAGAAATGGTGGTAATGCCTCTGTGATAACACATTTAAGAAGAAAGATAAACAAAAAATGGTTGAACAGTTTTAATTCCAGCCAGAGGAGAGCAGGATGAGAACATGTGAGAAGAGCAACTATGCAGACCATAAGGTCAGTGGAAAAGGAGATGGAGTAGATGCACCAGGTGCTGGAGCTGAGATTCATCTGCAGGTTGTGATGAAGACCATGGTGAAGCAGCTGTGCCCCTGCA